AACCCTAACCCTAACCCTAACCCTAACCCTAACCCTAACCCTAACCCTAACCCTAACCCTAACCCTAACCCTAACCCTAACCCTAACCCTAACCCTAATTAGTTAGCTAGTCCCAACCCTATGGCGGCCCGAACCCCCTGCCTGGCCCCGGGCTGCGCCCGTGCCCACACGCCCCAAACCATGACGAACCGCCGATCTTTTTTTCAACTGGGTATTCTAATGATTTTTCAATCGTTAAGAACACTTTAAAGATAATATAAATATCGTTCCATATGCTTCTTACATACTTATCTTTTTACATTCAATAATATTATTCAACTATAATGCACATGTATAAAGCTATCGAATCTTTACATATTTACCTTTTTTAAAAAAATTAGTAAATATGATGTTCAAAAAAACTAACATTCCATTATTTTCAGTTGTATTTTCTATTCTCTTGCCTTTTTTATTTTGTAAGTGATCATTACGTTCAATATTATTACCCTTTCTATACATTGTATTCATTTTTTATGAAATATGACGATTTGGTAGCTCTACAATATCAAAATTTGGATATCGCTCCTTACTTTTACGTTCTGTATCATCACTATTTTCTGACTTTCTTTATCATTTCTATTTCTATTCGGTTGTCTCATATACTATATTTTACAAAGCTTTTAATATAAACTATATTAATATAAATCATATCCGTTTCTTTGAATTCTTATATCATTTTGCAATATACGTTGTCTAAATTTCTTGAAAAGTACATTGGCCTTTATCATATTCTGAATATACAATTGGGAATTTTTTTTGTTTAAATTTTTCGTCAAGTTCAAAAACGTTTCGCGCACCAAAATATATGCGTGCAAAAAAATAAAAGATACCCCTGGGAATCGAACACCGGTTCACACATTAAGTACTTTGCAAAATACCACAACACTACGGAATAATTTCTGATCGCATATATTTTTCAAGCATATCATCGATGACTGCCTGTAAAAATGAGTTGTCAATGGCTATTTTTGTCAATAAAACTGTATGTACTGATGTGAAGTATATCTCAAGTAAGTAAACTTAGAAAATCTGAAGATATATAGTCGTTTCATATGTGTTGTGCATCTTTTTGAACTCACGTCAAGTATAGTGTATACGCAATATACTGCAGTGTATATCTTATTATATAGTTTCATCCTTATCCATTGTCTGAATAGACTCTAATAAACCTACCACAAGTTTTTAAAGGCTTTCGTTTCGTCTTCTACGGTACTCTGTCTATTGCTATCTGTCTATTGCTATATTTTATCCATACACAACAGATATAAATACACAGATGAGAAATTTTTGTTGGATTAATCATAATTGTTCTGACACATTTATGGCTCAAGATTATATCAATCATTATAAGAATCGATAGTCACCTATTTAGCATATTGTAGTAATGTACACTTAGTCGTATGTTGGCACAATTATGTCTGGAAAGCATTTTTACTTAGCAGTCCAAAGCTAGAAAGCAATTTTTCCACTAGTAAATTGTGTTAGAGCTGGCGAAAAGGTCACTAGCAGGCTATGCACCAATGCCTACACATCTCTAGAGAGCCATAGAACAGTCAGATCAATGAATAGATAGCAGCATTGTATTCAGCGTGTTTTGCGCATTTGAAAACGGTATTATAGTGCTAGGTTAGCTTCAATAATGGCTGAGTTATAAGTCTCTTATCGGCGCTGAGAAAACCTATGCCACTGATTGTAAGACTTTTGAAGCTCCGTTTCCCCCAATTTTGTCAAACCCCAGGGGTTCAAGTAGTATCATTCGAAAGCCCTTGCTTCAGGCTTTCAGATGCACTTTTCAAATCCAAAAACCCGAAACGGAACACTATCATATAGCGAGGCCCGAGGCCCTAGCTAGCCCGGGCTGCGCCCGTGCCCACACGCCCCAAACCACGAGGAAACGCCGATCTTTTGAAGTTTAAGGCATGCATCGTAATCTACTTTTTAAGGGCTTTCGATTGATATAAGTTTCATCCGCTGATCTTTTTTTCGACTGGGTATTCTTGAGCAGGTTAAAGCACCTTTGTGTGCTGTATGTTGGGTTAATGACGTCGTTAAAGGCTATACAAGCAATGCGGAACATCCGCTGAACCGATGTCCACTACTTCGAGATTGTTGTCTCAAGTGCGGAGGGCCACATTTTGCCAATCAATGTCATATTTATAGGTGAGTTCTTCATCTTCAATAGAGTTAAAATAGGCATTATCTTCCCGAGCTAATCTTTATAAGTTGTTTAGGGAAATCCTCAAGATTCGGAATCGCATCTGTTACTTTTGCTTCATGTATTTGGAACGAAAAGAAACATTTGCTCTGCACTATGGTCCATCAAACCGAAATTGTCCGTCACATGCTCGCGATAGAGTAATCGTAGTCTGCTATGAATTATTTCGCTTGAGCCAAAGGAGTCATAAGTTTAAGAGTGTTCTGAAAGAGAGTTTAATTGACATTCGTCTCGAAAATGAGAGTGAATTCACCTCTTGGTTGCTGACAGAAGATGACTTTAATCAACTACTCAATTATATCAACTTGTTATCATTTTTTTATGGCTATTCGTATAATGATAGTATTCATTCACTATTTTAAAAAGCTATGCTTCAGTAATCAGTATGATATTATTAATAAGTAGACTTAGTTAAAGCTACAATAAATTAGACCCTTTGACGCTCTCAACACTTACTGTATATCTTTTAGTATATCTAATGTTGAGAAGACTGGTCTTCCATCGTCCTGCACGTTCTTTATGATCCGGAGAGCTTGTACGCTGTCAACATTTTCGCCATTCAAGATTGTTGGCCCTAACGTCAGATCAAACGACAATGCACAAGCATCGTTCCAAATAAAGCTGACCGTTTGATGTTCTGATGAAGCTTTTTATAAAGTGCAAATAGAGAGAAGAAGGTCAACAAAGTATATAGTTCATGGGATTCATGTGTATTCTTTGAATGGGTACGTCTGCTACAGTGACTCACAAAAGTGTTACAATGTTTTTAAAAATTTTAATTTTTCGACTTTTTCATGCATTCTTCCCCTTGAGCACATACTTAAGCACTGATTTTTTTTTGCGATATGGAAAGTAGTAGTTCTAAGCTATTCAGTGATATAGCTTGTGTTAGGATTCATATACATTTGCTTGAGCACATTCGACATTCTAATCGCTCATCTCGACATTCGCAATCTGTAGAAATTCAGATGGTTGAAATGATGAATGTTTACAGAGCCTTCTTTCCCCAGGATTTTTCGAATTTATTGAGTTTCAGCAATCTATCAGGGGTCAATTTAATGTTGAGTATCATGTTTTGTCAAACTTGTACCTTTTTGCTTTTCGATTAGCTACATTACTTTACCCATTCACAAAAACCGCAACATTAGACAAATCTCAACATGCGTCCCGTACCTTACGATAAAAAAAATGTTATTTTAGCTAGACTGCGTACAGGAGAGTCTCATAGAAGTATCGCCAAAAGTTTAAAGGTATCCAACGTCACTGTTGGTAGAATCGCTAAAGCTAATGACATTGCATGCAACGAAAAGACCGGCCGTCCTAGGTTAATCTCGGATCGTCTCGAGAGAATGATCGCAAGATCGTTCTACTTAGGGCAGTTCATAACAGCAGTTGATGCTGCCAGGAACCTGCGGGGTCAAGGAGTAGATATTTCTCCACAGACCATACGTAGGGTCCTGAAAAGATCCGATTTCGATTCAACGATTAGAAAATCAGCATTGCCATTAACGAATGATCGAAGAAAGGATCGGTTGAAATGGGCGAAAGCCCACAAACACTGGACGGTTGATGATTGGAAGAAAGTCGTTTTTAGCGACGAGACCAAAATCAATCGTCTTGGATCGGATGGGAAACAGTGGACTTGGGTAAAGAAGGGAGAACCCCTCAAGGAGCACAACGTCAACTACAAGTATAAAGGCGGAGGTGGCAGCCTCATATTGTGGAGCTGCTTCACTCAACATGGTCCTGGCTTCATTGCCAAGATACAGGGGGGAATGGACTCGCAATTATATTGCGAGATTCTGAAAGGCGACTTCATGGATACACTAAAGGATTATGGCCTGAAATTGAAGGACGTTATCCTTCAACAGGATAATGATCCTAAACATACGTCCCAATATACCAAAAAATTCTTTAAAAAGCACAAGATAAATGTTCTAGATTGGCCTTCTTATTCACCAGACTTGAACCCAATCGAAAACTTATGGTTTTACCTGAAGTGCAAGCTAGCTGCTTATGACACCCTACCCAAGAATATGGACGAACTCTGGCAAAGAGTAGGAGACGTATGGTACAATAAAGTTACAGCCGATTTATGCCTAAAACATATCGAAAGCATGCCAAAAAGAATTGAAGCTGTTATAAAAGCCAAAGGTGGTCAAACAAAGTACTAACTGCACGTTTAAATAAATCTGACTATCACAAAAATGAAAATTTTACGCATATGCAAATTAAGCTCTATAGTTTAAGTAATTCCAAAGAACGCTAATATGTTTGAAAGTTATATCATTAGAAACCCAACAATATATACTTTCTAATGATATTAGTTTGGAGGGGGGTTTATTAATCATATCAGGTGCAATAGTGATTTGAATTGGAAATTTGTTTGATTTTGTAAAACATTGTAACACTTTTGTGAGTCACTGTAGTAATAAGAGAATTTCTTCTGTAATGTGGCTTTTGTGGCTTAAATTAATGGCTGAAAAATTTTTCAATCATTTTTTTTTTCTTTTTTCTCTTCTTATTTTCTTTTTTAACCCATCGATCCATCCATCCATCTATCTATACTTCGAAACAAAGTAAGTAAATGGGAGCTTTCAAGATGAAAACAAAGGACTAATGAGCGCACTTGTCATGCATTCTTTTAGACAACCGTTCTTTACAAAAATGCAAGCTGATAATAGGTATATCATAAAAAGTGGCACCAAAACCGTTTTACAGAACAGCTTTGCTTAAAGAATCTCACTATTCCTACTAAATAGTAAATATGCACACGACGAATGCTGCGAATTGCAATTGAAGATGTTCAAGAGAGAAATGGAAAGCTCAAAAGACATGGAAGCTTCCGAAAAGGACGGTATCCTCACTGCAGTTCAACATTTGTTGACGATGCCAATTGGTAAAATGAACATCGTTAAGAAATATTGAGTTATGGCTGAATACTAATAGTTTTCTGAAACCATAATAGGCACAGTAAAGACAATAGTAGCTTCTTTGGATAAAGCCTTTTCCACTGATGAAGCAGTTCCTGCTAATGTTAGCGATGTTGAACAATGCAGCCGTCCTAATGAACCAACAGTAGTCATATCAGCTCCCAGCAAACGTAAAAGACGCACAGCAAAGAAGAGAAAGATGCTCTCTTATTCGGACATAGCAAAGGACTATTTGGTAGCTTCTGGTGTTGCAGGTATTACAGTATACAGTAGTGGCATATTGAGAAGAAGCAACAATCGTCTTATTCATTATCCATATGTATATATATCATAGCTGTACAACATGCAAAGGAAAACGTCGCAAGTACAAAAAGTTCAGTCATTGCCAAACTGGAGATGCTTCTCAATGGTAGACTGTGTGGTATTCGCTAGTTTTAATTATGAAGTAAAAGGTAAAGAATAACACAAGAGAAAATAAACACGAAAGCTTAACGAAATCAAACCACCGTCTTTATTTCTCTTTCAAAAACAAACTAAAGAAAAAGAAAAGAAAACTAAAATTACTGCTATTAATAAAGACTTATTGTGTTTGCTGTCTACGAAATGATTGTATCGGGATCTATAGCTGACACTGATGTATTATGGTCAAATAATACTCAGTGAATCAGAGGTTTCCGTAAAAGAATAGGTCTTCGGCTAAAGTAAAGTATATGGCCACCGCCTGAAAATGCGTTTTCTCGAGGAGTTGAAACCTTCCTAAAAAGGAAGGTGTCGGAGTTTGGAGTTCAAAATGTTTGTGTAACCATGAATTTTTAGCAACTAGAATACTGTAGGACTGGATCGTTGAAGGTCTGGTGTTGGTTAAGAATTTTTTCGTGGAGTTACAGCGGTAAATGTGTGTAGCCATCGATGGAAGGCACAAATATGTACCGTTGGCTTTTTTAACGTTTTTTCGGAGACAGATTGGCTTAAAATTCTGCGAATTTATCGGTTTATATAGTTGACAAGTTATGACTCATAATGAGTTAATCGAATTTTATTGGTTTAGGTAGTTGACAAGTTATGACTCATAATGAGTTAATCGAATTTTATTGGTTTAGGTAGTTGACAAGTTATGACTCATAATGAGTTAATCGAATTTTATTGGTTTAGGTAGTTGACAAGTTATGACTCATAATGAGTTAATCGAATTTTATTGGTTTAGGTAGTTGACAAGTTATGACTCATAATGAGTTAATCGAATTTTATTGGTTTAGGTAGTTGACAAGTTATGACTCATAATGAGTTAATCGAATTTTATTGGTTTAGGTAGTTGACAAGTTATGACTCATAATGAGTTAATCGAATTTTATTGGTTTAGGCAAGTTATGACTCATTATGACTTGGAAGCTGCTGGAAAAAAGTATAAAAGGAGGGCTTTTTTCGGGATATTCTCAAAATTATCTCTACTTTATCATCTTTTCTTAGTCATGTCTTATTTACCACGTTGGCGAATCCCTAACTACTCTGCAAGCGGCCGTCCTTCCACTCAAACTAGTAATGTTAATGCTCAGGGCGTTGGTGCTGGATCTTTTCAGGGTAGCTCTACTGAATCTCTTCGGTCAAATGCTTCAGTGATAAACTTGTTATCTTCCGATGACTCTTCATTTGGTAATTCGCAGGCAGATGTGTCTATGATGTCAGCGCGGCGTTCTTCAATTGGGCCATTTAGTTCAAACATTGCAATGGACGAGACATTCTTCTTCGAATCGGACAGGCGTTCCCATATTGATAGTATCCCACCATCAGCATCATCATCATCGTCATCATCATCATTCTTACCTCAACAAGATCGACCTCGTACAGCTAGTGGAGTTGAATTGCCTGGTCCAATACCTTTGACTGACTTACCAACGATCGAACTATGGTCCAGAAGGGTCAATAAAAAGATGATATCAATTTTTGAGCTGTCAGAGTTGGTTGGAACCGTAGACAAGGCCGTTAGGTAGGTTTAAGAGAATTGACGCCGTAATTATAGTCTTTATTTACTGAAAATTGCGGTTTCTTTACTGTATTTTAGGTTTTTACTCGAACAGCGAATCTTGTATGATTATGATCCAATCACCAGAAACAGAGCAAATATTGTTTGCGTGAATGGTTATCCAATGACGTTCACTTATAACCAAGGCCGTGGTTACGTATGGCGTTGCCACAAGTATGACTGTTGCAACAAAAGTCGGTGTTCTGCTCTTGTCCATTCTTTTTTTGCTGAACGCAAGTTACCTCTTCATCATCAACTAATAATTCTTTATCTTTGGTTAAACGGTGCACCGCGCAAGACTATTTGTGATATAACAGATACCAGCAGGCCAACTGTTAAAGGTATACTAGATGGTTTCTGTCAGGTTATGCAACACGATTTTCTAAATAGTCAGCATGAAGAACTGGATGAGAATGAAGAAGATGACAGCATCATCGACATGGAAACTATTGCGCCCGAAGAACGTCATACGTATAACAATGAGAATAAGATTGGTAACGTATTTCAGAGTTTAGTTACATAAAAGTTGTTGCTACGTTGGTGGACGCGTTATCTCACCTAAATTTTTATGTTCTCGGTATACTGTATGACAGGTGGCTATACTCCTGATGGCGAGTCCATTATTGTTGAAATAGACGAGAGTAAGTTTGGCAAGAGGAAGTACAATAATGGCCATCGTGTGGAAGGCGTCTGGGTTATCGGTGGTGTAGAACGTACAAATAAACGGAAGCTATTTTTGGTTACAGTGCCCAATCGTAATAGTGAGACTATCGCTAGGGTTATTCGACGTTATGTGAATCGTGGGTCCACCATTTATACCGACTTTTGGCGTGGCTATCTATGCATTTCTGATTTGGGTCGTAATTTCACGCATCAACGCGTTAACCATGAAGAGGGTTATGTATCAATGGATGGCACCTGTACGAATACCATCGAGGGTAATTTCGAATTAGCAATAGATTTGTAACAGTATAGTAGCATAGTAATTTATATTACCTTCTTGATAGGCACCTGGAATGGAATCAAGATCCGTTGTTTTCCTCGTCAGCGTACAAAGCGGAATATGCCCTGGGTATTGCTTCAATTCATCTGGCGTAGAAAATATTATGGTGATTTGTTTAGTGGACTGTTGAAGACCTTGCGTGATGTTGAGTATGATCGTCGTACTGTTCAGGGTGCATTCATTACCCAAGTTGTTTTCGAAGGAGAGGATAATCTTCGTGGTCCTTCTTCCACTGACTCGGATACAAGTGATAGCAGCAGTAGTGATAGCAGTAGCAGCGAAAGCGAAAGTGATTTTGAAGAAGACCTTAATTATGATAATGGAAGCAGAATCAACATAGAAGGAGATAATAGAGTAGCACCACGAAGTCAACCATTTCAATTTCTCCGTAGAAGCCGTCGTATAGCTAATCGTTCTTCCTCATCATAACTTGTTATTAATAAAGCTCCTTTTTCTGAATCGTCGTCTCACTTTTTACTAGACTGTTTAGGAAATTAAACATTTTATTCACATCTCTAAAGTATTACGTGTTTTGAAGAACATCGTGCGATTCTATACCTCTATTTCTATGCTTTTTCAATATAAAAATAATTATCTTTTGACAAACCCTTCATTTTCGAACAAAGAGAGTTCATTTTCAAACGTTCTTTAATTTGTTAAGGCATATCTCCATGTATATGCATCGCACAGCCTCCATATAGGGCGCATTCTATTTGCAAAGTACTCAAGATACTAAAACCCCAACGTTACACAAACATTTTGAACTCCAAACTCCGACACCTTCCTTTTTAGGAAGGTTTCAACTCCTCGAGAAAACGCATTTTCAGGCGGTGGCCATATACTTTACTTTAGCCATAGTACAGTTAACGGGGCGGATAATTGCGCATTTGGGTGGGGACCATCTATACCCTATGGCCAGAGAATGGGATTCAGCTAGTTGTAACATAGACCTAACTTCACGAGGTGTTCCAATTAGTGCAACATCATCAGCATATAATAAACAATTGATGGCAGTGGGAGAAGGTAGTGCCTCAGGATCAGGTTGCGACATTAACCAGGGAGCTGGTAAAGGAACGGATGAGGAGATGGATTGAACGGTTGGGGTGGATGTCGAAGCAGTGGAGCGCAGTAGAGGTGCCAATGAGTTAATGTAAATGGAGTATAGGTGGGGGCTGAGGACAGAACCCTGTAGTACTGTTGTATCCAACAGCATATTACTCTTGGATTATTACATAATACTGAAATAAGAGATTGCGGATCCTTATGAAGGTTAGAATAACCGTGAGTGATAGGTTTGTTAGAACAATTCTTTTCTTTAGCGGAAGAATATTTCATCTGTATATCCGAGACAACATTGGATGAGTAATTGACTTCATTTAGAAATAAGATATTATAGTATTTGGATTTGATTAAATCAGATAACTTTATTTAGCACATCAAACCACAATACATAAATCTAATCTATTTAAGCTATTATCTTCTAACTTGTTGATCCTTACTTTAACCCTTTACATTCTGACAGAATTCAATAAGACTGAAACGTAGACGTCGGCAGAATTAAGGAAGAGTTTATCCTGTCCGTCACGTTAGTTATAATGAAACTGCTGAAGTACGGGTCAAAGGAACCTTTAGTTAGATCAACCCACTTACCTCCTGTCACCGATCCAATCGGTCAAGGCACCGCTATAGCATGATGAACCGTGCAGTAACAATTGGGTATGTCTTTTCTTTTATCATCAAGGCATCTTGTACCTAAGAGTCTCGATAGAAAAAGTTTTTTACAATATCCACAAATATAAATAGAAGTACTTTTTTCCTACATGGTTTTTGTCTTCATTCTTAATTGAGTTCTTTATCAGAATATTCCAGCGAATAAAAGAAGATAACTTGGTCTTCACTGATTTCCTTTTTGTTTTCTTTTCCTTTATACTTTTATCTGATCGTATACAACATTTTTTTCAGTGAATCACTCAAGATGTCTATCGAGAATATTGTCACTGATTCGAAGGCTGCTGGTGAAGTAGTCAAGAACTCTGCTGCTGCTCTTGGTGGATCTTCTACAGGTGAAGGTGACTCTACGCAAGTAGTAATTGAAGAAGAAGGTGTAGATGCAATGTGCATCGTGGACGACGACGGTGATGGAAACTCTCCAGCCCTGAGCGCTGGTACTGGTGTGATGGATGACACGTCATTTGTCGTAAACACAATTGAAGACTTTCGCAAGGAGCTGGTAGAAGACATCAGCAAACTGTCTCGTGCTCGTGCAATCGGTGATATGGAAGCGTTTGATGCTGCGATGGTTAAAATGGACAAAACTCGCAGAGCAATTCATAGCTTGGAAGCGAATGCAGCTCTGTTGAGGAAGGGTTCTGAAGACATTTCGTCTGTTG